ATAGGCCTAGATAGCCGTTTGGGTTTTTTTTTTTTTAAAGAACCATTATTTATGTTATACTCGTCTTTGCAGGTTGGATTGGGAAATTCAGACTACCTGGCTGCATTTCTTCATGTCTTGCTTCCAATGGCTTTTGAGGTAACTGTTAAATTCTGGGCCTTTCCCCTCCCCCCCTCCCCCGAATTGCACACATGTTATTTAAAAGTACTGTATAGAAAAGCAATTGTAAAATATTTTTGTGTTAGTATCAAAATTAATCTTCAGCTATTTAAAAGCAATGATTACTTTTTTAAAAAATTACACTCAGGAGTATCTGCAGGAGGGAGGCCAAAAAAAATCAAGATGGCAACTGTGCCGCATTCTTGACTTTTTTGCCCCCCACCAGAGGCTCCCCAGTTATGCTATTGTGCTAAAGCAGTGTTTCTCAACCTTGGCTACTTTATGATATCTGGACCAACTCCCAGAATTCCTCAGCCAGCCATGCTGGCTGGGGAATTCTGGGAATTGAAGTCCAGACATCTGAAAGTGGCTAAGGTTGAAAAACACTGTGCTAGAGTTATCTCTGAATATTGAGACCTGCTAGATTTTTAAAAAAGAGCAAGGGACTATGAGCCCCTTCACAAATGGCGTATCTCCTGCATAGACACATGTTGTTGTACTATTGTGCAATAGAGCCAATTCTCTTACATCTCTGTAGTGGCGTGAAAGGAATAGCTCCAGAGATGCTAATAAGAACGCCCACCTTGACTCCTTGCTTTTCCCCATCTGTTTGAGGTCCATTGTCTTAAAATGAATAGAAAATCCAGCTCAAACTGGCTGGATTAGGATTGAATTGGGCAAGAAAACAAATGAGCAAGGAACTGAGGATGACAATGGGGGGTGTGAAAGACAATGTTGGTCCTCCATATCCCACATTGGTCAACCGGAGGGAGTATTTGTATGCAGATTCTTCCTAGCAAAAGAAGAAGCAATGCAAACCCTTGTGGCTTGCTCTGAATCTGTGTTTCTCAACTGTCTGGGGAATTCTGGGAGTTGGAGTCCACACATCTTAAAGTGGCCGAGGTTGAGAAACGCTGCTCTGAAAGGCTTTGTGAAAGTTTGGAAAGTGAACAGTAGGGCAGAAATCAAAACGTAATTAATTTAAGAATAGTAGGTGGCTGGACATGCCCTGAAATGCTTATTGGAGGAATGGAGAACCAGTGACCTTCCAGATCTTGGTGAACTACAACTCACAGCATCTTTATACTATGCTGCATTATATTATAATATAAACTCTGTTTATGGTTTATTTTTTTTCCAACTGTAGTTTGATCCAGAACTTGTTTTGATTTCTGCTGGATATGATTCTGGAATAGGTGATCCAGAGGTAAGCCCTTTTCTAGATAGTTTTTCTCTATCTTTTCCCTTGAAAACAGGCAATTAAAAAAAAAAAATCTTTGTTTCTCTTTGTTTTGTTTTTAGGGGCAGATGAATGCAACTCCAGAATGCTTTTCCCATCTTACCCATTTTCTAATGAATTTAGCTAAAGGAAAGTTGTGTGCAGTTTTAGAGGTACCGATTTTACTACAGTCTGATTACCAACTTAGTCAATGCTATCAACTTTTTGACTTAATGTTGGAGGTGTTGTCCCAGGAACTCTGGGGGTTCTAGCCTGGCATGTAATTTTGCCCAATAAACACACCAGGGTGGAGATAATAAAGTATTTATTCAGTGCAGAGTAAGGTGCCCGGGAATAATTTCCAGAGCAGGCACCCCTATTTGTCAATCAACACGACTTTTGTACATTCTTGAAACAAAAAACTACATGATCATTGGCAGACAGTAATTATTCACACCTTTGGGTGGGCAAAACACTCCCAAAAGGTGGCACCACTGCCCAAAGATGGGCGCTTGTTGTCGCCAAGGGAAATAATGAGCTAGATGGCTTCTTATGTCTCTGCTGGTTAGTGCAGGGGTTCCTCCTGGTGGGAACTTCTCAGCTCTAACTGATAAGAAACACTGTATTCAAAGAGAAGGGGTTTTGGAGGGGTTTGCAACTTAATTATGTGCTCTGTTCCCAGCAGCTAGTGAAGGTCAGTTCTGAGCAGTACATAATGTTTCTGCTGCCTTCTTCAAATTAATCCTAAAATCACCATTCCATCAGAGGCACTGTTCAAATGTTTCTAGGATTATCAATGTTCACATGTTGACACAAAGCAAACCTCAGATGTTCACTGGTCTATAAATAAACTAAATCCTAACCATACATTCCTATTACATTCTTGCATTTCTTCTGGCTTCCTTGAGGTCTGTGATCAAGTATCACATGTGGATAAGATGTTATAGTCCCTGATAGTTTGAAAGAAATGTTATGCTTAGGATGTGTTCTTATGATTAGTGGAAGTCCTACAGTTATGCTTCAGTTGAGAGGGAGTGCTAGTGTTTGCAGAAGGGCAAATATTGGTATTGGTGGAATATAATTTCGCCCAGAGTCCCCTATTGTGGGGGAGATGGGCAGCGGAGAAATCCAATAAAATAAATAAATAAATAAATAAATAAATATTATGATTAGGCATTCTTGAACTCTATGATAAAATTTAATGTTGGGGAAAATGTAGGTTTTTTTCACATGTTCATATGTTCACATGTTCATGGAAAGGGCAATGCTGGTTTGGCAGAAGGTGAATTTAGGGTTAGGGTTCCTTTAGGTCTGTGATAAAATTCTATGTCAGAGGGAGATCTTAATGCTACTGCTGCTGCTGTTGCTGCAAAAAGCAAAGGAAACCTTATCGGCCATAAGAAATTTTGTAATAATTTTAGGGCAACACAATTTGTTTAGGCCATTGAAGAGATCATAAAAATATGGGAGGTTTTGAGATGTCGAGATAGTACCATTGCTTCTTACTTTTATATCATTTCTTTCTTCCTTTATGGAACCATGGTGTGATACAGGAGAACTTGTAGGTTTCTTATTTTTTTGGTACTTGGAGAGATTCAGGTTGACTTACAGGTAGTCCTTGGTTAATGCTGGTAACTGGGACTGGAATTTCCATTGCTAAGTGATGGAGTCATAAAGTGTGACGTCATGTGACTGCACTGCTTAGTTCCAGCACTTCTGGTTGCCGTCATTAAGCAAATCCCGCACCATCGTTAAACGCAGTGTCACGTGGTCACCATTTGTGACCTCCTGCCGCCTTCCCCATTAACTTCGTTTGTCAGAAGCTGGCAGTGAAGGTCGCAAATCGCAATCACATGACCATGGAGACACTGTGACAGCTGGAAGTTTGAGGACTGGTCATAAGGATCACTTGTTCAGTGCCGTTACAAGTTCAAACGGTCACTGAATGAGTGGTTGTTAAGTGAGGACCACCTCTTTTTTCAATAGGTGACTGTATCAGGGGCTTGGAGACTATTGTATGTTGGTGCCTTGTGAACACCAGTTGTTTTATTTCTTAATAATTTAACATCTGGATGTTGTTGTTTGCTTAATATTTGAAGTTTCAGTATGCTCCTTTATGTTTTACATCTGTTTGTTTTCACTTAGGGTGGATATCACTTAAGGTCACTCTCTGAATCAGTTTGCATGACTCTAAAAACTTTGCTTGGGGATCCTTTACCTCCTTTGTCTGGTGAAATGATGCCATGCTTAAGGTATATGTATGTGCATGTTCATGCGTGTATGCATGGGTGTACTTGCATGCATGTAATAACAAAAAAGATCTGCACCGACAAGTCGTCATAGATAGAGACAAAAAGGCCAGTCCTAATCAAGGATCTGGGTGAGACACAATTATTTCCATTAAGGGATTCTTAAAAAAGCCAACATGGTGGTCATACAATTGAGACCACCATCTGGATTTTTCTGATTCCTCTGTGGACCCAACTGTACATAGGGTCCAACCATTTAGATCTTTTGGGTCGGGCAACAGTGCAAACTCCAGCGTGTACTAGGTTTTTAGTAGTCTACACAAGCCATGCCATTCTGCATTTAAATGCACCTTCTAGCAACTTTATGTGTGCTGAATTGTAGTAGACAAACCTATGAAGATTTTACAGAGAAGAGATTGGACACAAGCTACTCTTTTGGTGTTAGGCTTTATGATGCGCTATTCCATCATAAAGCCATTGCTCAGTGAGGTTGATAAGTTGTTAATCTGTTCTCCTTAATTGTAGGATGGTGTACAATTGTGACATGGATAGGTTATAATCTTTTCAATCTGAGGATTTTGCATGTTCCCCATATCTTTAGACTTTGGATCACAAAGACAGAAACTCATTTAAAAGGCAAATGTTGAATGAGAATGAGAACTTCTAGTGACCTTCAATGTCTCCCCTGATAAATGGCATAGAAATATAGGCAGTATTTGATGAGACCTCAGAAACTGGTGCAGGAAGCACCCATCCACATGGAACTCCATCTTAGTTACATAGTGGGTTCCTCTTCACTGTTTGGAGGTTGTAAGTAATTTAATTGAGTTAAACCAAAAGTGTAGAATTACCGTTGTTCTATTCCAATATTTCAAGCACCTCTGCAGGCTTGCTTAATTAATTGCCTAGAAACATGCCAGTCTGTACACACAAAAGAATCTCCAGTGCTTGTACCAAAGAAAGAATTTGCTTCAACAAAATAGGCAGATTTGAGTTCTTCTTTTAAATGTCTGTACAATGGAGTTTGCGTCACTGCAAAACCCTGGGAATTACAGAGAAGAAAAGTAATAAAAATCCATATAAAGCCAGATGGCGATGTTGAATATTGATATACCCAGCTTCCTATGCTTTAATAATTTTATTACACACATACAAGTTGATTTGAGATGGCCTCAAGTTTTTATCACTGCAAATAACAATTTGCAGATTCTTAGTATTAAAAATATAGAGATTTTAAAAATATTTAAAGATAATGTGTATTCCACTTGGTCTTTTTTAGCGCAAGGGAATCAATCCAGAATGTGAGAGCTGCACATAAGCCATACTGGAAGTGTTTGACATATGAAGGTAATGGCAGGATTTTTTTTTTCTTTTCTGATATACTGCAGCAGATCATGGAAAAAATATTAAAACTGTTTCTGGATTTAGCCTGCTGTCTATCCTTTTGTTTCTTAATTCACAGAAATCTTATCAAGTTTAAATATTCCAAAGCAGATTTTCAACTAGAACAAGTTATCAAATTCCTGTGCCATTTTAGAAGCAGTGTTAGAAACTTTGGATAGATTTTAATGTCACTAGGTGATAAAGCCACATAAATTGGCAATATGACTGATTAAATTAACAAGTTGTCCTCAAGTGTTTTTTTTTCTCCTTTCTGAATTGTCAAATGAAAGATTGAAAATACAAAGGAAGTCAATGGCAAATTTAGCTTGGATAATTGAGCCAGTATACCTGGTTGAAGTAACTGGAGCTGAATTAATTTAAAAGCATAGGAATTTAGGGCTGTGCATTCTTCAAAAATCATCCAGAAGAGGTATTTCAAAATGTGGGAGCACAAGCACAATGAGTTGCAATAAGGACATGGCTGCCTTAATGAGCTGACTCATTAAAGCAATTACATCTTTTTCATTCTTGTAGCAGTCGGAAAAGGCATGGCTGCTTTAATCAAGTGCTGTGCTCACTCTCCTGATGCATCTCTTCCAAATCATTTTCAGAGTAGGCACAACCCTTTCATCTGGCTTGTAGATTGCAGTACATAGCTCCAACAATCAGCAAATTGTTAAATATTATGCAATAGGCAACAAAAATGTGAAGAATGTATCTAATTTTTAATATGATCTTTTCTTCTAGAAAGAATAATGTTAGTTTGTGAACTAAATGAATCACCTCTGAGCTAAATGCTTGTTTTCAAAAATCTTCAATTTTGGTAGCTTTGAAAATGTGGTAATGCCCAAGCCCAAGTATAACTAGGGGGTTATAGCATAAACAACCTTCCATAACTTGGCTAGAGTTCTGAGAGTTGTAATCCCAACAGATCAGTTCCTACTGGCTTGAGGAAAACAAGCATAATTTGTCTTCTCTGAAGAGATAAGCCCTCTTCTGTGTTGTTGTTCCCAGATGTGACTCCACTGCAAGACCTCAGTACTAGATCCTGTCAGGCAGAGGAAGCTGAGTCTACACAGAGTAATGCGGAACTCCTAACTCCTCAAGAAGTTGGAAAGGGAAACATCAGTGAGGTCATCAAAACAGATAGGTTTTTGGAGATGCATATGAAAAGCATTATTGTCTCTTTGAAACCTCCTATTAAAACAGCAGCAGCTGTTGATGAGAGTGACACACACCTGCTCCCACCAGCTGTTCACATTCCAAAGGGACTGGATGTGAAAGAGTTCAAAACTACTATCAGGTTAGCCATACCTTTCACCAGCTCACACCTGGGTGTATCATGATACAGCCAACATTTAGTAGTCAGCTTTCAATGAAAAAAGATGTTCAGCCTCTCCAGTTAAAAGGATTGGTAGCAAACGCTTGTATGTGTAACATTCAGGAGGTGAAGCAGAAGTGGTCTGTGATGCTGTGTCCACCCTCAAGTTCAGTCTCCTTTTATATATGTTGCAAGAAGGAATTGGTGGGTTAGATCTTTTCTTCCTTACCGTGCTTGTCTTCTACTTTCAGGGAGACATATTCCACTTACTTAAGATTTCCAGCCCTGATTTTGTAAAATGGGTTAATTAATCTTGCAGTTAACATAAGATTCCTCCTGAATAATAAGGACATCATTTTTAGTGTATGGCATACAAAGTAATTTATAATCGGGGTAATCTTTAGATGTCCACTAAGAAGTCATGAGTTCAAATCTCAACATGTTGCTCAAGCTGTACAATTGTTCCAAATGTTTCAGTGTGTAACCACCATTCAAAAATCTGTATTTCACAGTGCATTTGATGTTAAACTTATGAAAGAAGAGGCCTTAAGCTCACTCTTGAACATGCTGGCTGTCCTTAACAAAATCATTAAAAAGGAGGTAATGTTAATCACTTGGCAAAACTGGGTTGACATAATTTCTTCTAATTTGGTTTTGAAGAAAACTACGTGCATTTTAAAATCTCACGGCCACCCCTGTAGGAGAGTTGTTCTTAAACTGAGGCTATGCCCTTTCTTTTCTTTTCTTTTCTTTTCTTTTCTTTTCTTTGGCACTTTTCAGGGTAGCGCAGCTTCTTAGATGTAGGCTGGGGGATATCACATTATGTCTTTCATATACAACTAGGACATAAGTTCATTCTTTTTAAAGAGGTACATCAACAAAGCTCCATCTGCATGCTTAACTACCCAATTATTGTATGGCTGGTTAACTCTTTACATTCGCCTAGAACAATGCACTATTATCCCATTACCCTAATCATAACGCTTTGTTTTCTGATTGTTCAGACTCGCAATTGCTGCATTTTTCTCTATACTGCTAAGCTAAAAGCTGATTGCATATATTCCCATCTTGGGCATCATGCTGCAATATAAATGCTAATGCTAATAATAATGCATCCCAATTAACTCAGTGAACTAGAGAACTGCATGGAGAGGAGGCCAACCTGGGTTGCAGGGATGAGAATAATTCTCTTAAACCAGTGAATCACATCTTATGAATAAATATTAAACATTTTTGCTAGAGCTGAAAAAGCTTATTTGGTGTCAAGCCAGGCTGTGTGCAAAGATGTCCTCAGGGTAACCACAATGACAAAGAAATGATGATGTCACAATGCAGATCTTGGCCTTTTGTAGTTAAGTTCCAATGTTGGATATAAGTCCCAGAGTTTGAATTGTGGCATCCTGATGTGTATTTCATCATTTGCCTCCATCCCCCGTACACACCTGTGGCTGTATGACCTGTACAGAGGTAGTCCTCGACTTACAACCATAATTGGGACTGGAACTTCCATTGTTAAGCACTGTGATCGTTAAGTGAGTTGCACCTGATTTTATGACCTTTTTTGCCTCAGTCATTAAGCGAATCACTGTGGTCATTAAGCAAATAATGAGGTAGTTAAGCGAATCCAGCTTTCCCCATTGACTTTGCTTGTCAGAAGCCAGCTGGGAAGGTCACAGATGGAGATCATGTGACTCCGGGACACTGCAACTGCCATAAATACATACTGGTTGCCAAGTGCCCAAATTTTGATCACATGATCGCGGGGTGCTGCAACAGTCGTAAGTGCGAGGACCAGTCATAAGTCACTTTTTTCAGCATTGTCATAACTTTGAACAGTCATTAAATGAATGGTCATAAGTCAAGGACTACCTGTACTTGCTTGTAAAAAATCATGTAAGAGTTTGAAGGGGCCCAGGGAGTGTGCAGTCCACCTCCATGCCAAAGCAGGCAATTCATTCATGCCTAATCTTTGCTAGGATAAGAATTACAGAGTAGAAAAGAACTTCAAGCCACCTAAGTCAATCCTAATACTTTTGGAAATTGAATGATATTGATTCCCTCTTTGTACAGTTCATATGCTCCAAATGAATAGTAGAGAAGTGCTGCCAAATTCTTGGTATGCTTAGCCAGGTTAATTAAATTTCTTTGTGCTAGCAACATGCTTTTTAGAATAGGAGTCCTTCCTTTTATAATGAGACACATACTTGGGGAAGCTTAAGGTTTTTTTTCTAATTCTCCCATATCAAAACGTTTTCTTACTGTAGGTTGATTGAAACCAGAAACCAGAACACAAATGTATCATGGAAATAGACTATGTACATTCCTATTTGGTTGATTACTAAGATTCACTCACTGTTAAATTTAGGGAAGCTATTTCATCCAGACACTGGTGTTTGCTGGTAGCCCCTCAAATAGAGATCATTCTCTGATTTACTGACTTGGACTATAACTGGATGTAATAATAGTTGAAGTAATCCTTATGTGGCAGAATAATAGAAAGGAACATAGCCTGCCTTGATAACATACATGCTTTTAAAGGTCCAAATGTTTTATTTTGATATAAATTTTACAGTATTTGCAAAGAGGCCTTACTTGTTCTTATATCAATCTAGACATTCATGAGCTATATATAATTCATACATATAATGCAATACAGATATATAATCTTGTAAGTAATAATAAATAAAGAGTAACATTGTAGTTATTATCATGTTTATTATTTAGGTGATCAATGGACTTGCAGTTTCATCTACACCTTCACTTTCTTCTGCCATTGCAGCAGCACATTGCAGAAAACTGAAGGTACAAAAGTAGGTATAAAAATTTCTTGCACAGTTGTGTATTTAAAGGATAATGTAATAAATTACTATTCAGAAATGATTTAAGACACGTTTTGAACTTCATATAAAGGCAGCACCTCTCTACTATTCATTGAAGTAGCTGACTTTTTTTAGGCTTCTGCATGATCCTGAAAAAAACTACTAATGTTTTTAGGAGTCATATTAAGTTTAATTAGCCATCTCCTGCAAACCAGGCACACCTTTTCAAAGCATGCACAACCCTATATATAGCTTTTTTTTTTTTTGGCTAATGCTTTCAGTTGTCCTTCTCAACATTGTCTATTATTTGGGGACTTGGGATAATTGTCTATTATTTGGGGACTTGGGATAACCCATTTAACCCAGCGAGATTTATTCTGAGTAGTTTATACAGAATTGTACTGTGAACTGCAAAAGTTCAATCCTCTTTGAGTACTGCAAACGTATATGATGACAAAGATGCAACGGGCTACAGAGTTGGGGAAGTCAAAAGGGACTGGATAGGTATACCCAGGGGATGAATGGGACATGGTGAAAAGCAGAAGTTTGCTACTACTTAATGAATATAGAAGAGTTCCGTATATTACTTAGATAGAAATAAATAAGATGGCGCTTACCTTGTTCATGATGTACAATATTAACTTGTAGTCTAGGAAAGGTTTTGCCCTAGATGCTGTAATCCTTAAATTGTGTTTTGTAGCTAGGGTATTGTCAGAATTATACACATAGATTTATAAAAGAGCTCTTTAATTTAGGGTTTAGATTAGCAGTTCCTTCACTAAATCTTCAGGGTTTGTTATTTATACTGCAATTTTGATAGCTAGCTATACTTGGTTAATTTTCTTGGCCTGTCAGTCATGCCACTGTTTTTTATGTGGTCCATTAGCAGATTATCTAAAATATGCTACTTACCATATATATTCTAATATGCATAACAAATTGTAACTCTTGAAATATTTTGTTTTGCAGAATCCTGTGTGTATTTGTTGGTGACATGGACATGAAAATTGAGTTGGAGGATGGGTAAGTCCTAGTGTTTCATGCAGTTTATTTAAATTTGTGCAGCTGGTTCTAAAAATGAAATCCTGCTAAAATCAGTGGGGCTTCTTAAAAAAACATGAAACGTTGAATCTGTTTTTTGATTATCAGGATAATTACATTTTACATATAAAAATACACATTTGGTTATAGCAGTTATTTACAGCTTGTTTATAATGTCTTTTTCCCAGATGTGGTTATTTGCTTTGTTTTATTATTACCAGGGTGGCAACTATTTTATAGAGATAATATTTATAGAATCTACTTTCTTCAATATTTTACAGCAAAGTCCTCTTGATCAATATTTGTGCTAAACAGTCTGAACAAGTTAACACCAAACACAATATCTCTCTCAACTGGAAAGAAGTACGTGTGGAATTTTATGGTCTTTTTTCTCACCCAAGTATGATTTATTGAGAATGCAAGGACATAAATTTTGAGTTGAACTATATATTCAGCAACTTCCACTGACTTTAAAGCATGGATGACCTACAAATATTTGAACATTCTGGTCCAACTGAGAATTCAGCCTGCTGGACATGTGCAATTTGCTACTAGAGTCATGATGGAGTTGGGTGGGCTATAAATTTAACAATCAATCAGTCCTGTAGGAAATGCTATAAATAGATTCAGGATAAACTGAAGATCTTCTGTAGAAATTGGCACAAAATGTTTAGAAACCTTGAAGGCTTTGCACAAAATTTAACCCTTATCTTCCCTGCATATATAGAAAGGGACTGAGAACAAGCATGATTGTAAAACATACAGATGGTTTTTCCCACCACTGTCATCCACACATTTTTATGGACATCTGAGCCAGGGAAGCCGAATATATTAATCATCACATGAAGAGAGTTACTTAGTTTTGGAACCTTAATCACTCTAGATTTCAAGAACAACAGAAGTTTGTTCATGCAGACCAGGGATGGGCAACCCCACACCCAAAATTTTATCAATGAAGTTCAGCAGCAAAATGGCCAAATTTCAGCAGCATAATTTTGGCTTGTTTATAAAAGTTTGGGGAAATTTTGACAGTGTGAATGCAAATAACTTGAATCTAGGAAGCTTCCCACCCTTAAATTCCCCCAAGAAGCCAAAAAAAAACAAAAAAAAAAACAAAAACCCACTCCAAAACAGGGCAGAAATGCAGCCACATCTCTTCTGGTGAAGTCAGTGTCAACAGGAGGTGAACAGCCCCCTACTCCTTCAACACAGCTCACCCTACATACATGAAAGTAAACATCAAACTTCTGTGCATTCACATACTTGATTATTGGGCTGGAAAGACAACATGTTGTTATTATGGCCCTATAGAACCTTTCTACCTGCTTTATCCCTTCACACAAGTAATATGTAAATAGGGTTTCTATATTGAGAAATTAAGAAATTTAGGTTTGAGTTAATATACAAAAATATTACTAAATAATACTAAAATATTCTTAATTTTTTGTTTATTTTTGGAAGGATCCTGAAACAAACAACTTCTTCTCTGCTACCTTTGGATTTATTCTTCCAGTAGCATACAGCTATCAGCCTAATTTAACCATTGTAATTGTTGGACCAAACCAGAACCTTGGCAAAAATAGAATTTCCTTGCTTATTAGTTTATTGCAAGGGTTAGCACAATCTCAGATTCTTGCTCTAATTCAGGTAAGAAGTATTAGTGGTTTTACAATAAAATAGCTTATTGCGTATTAGAATAAAGAATTCAGAGGAAATGAGTCTTTACTTCCTTCCAGAACTCCTGTATGGTTTCAGATTCTGTTTTCCTGAAGCAAATACATGAGGAATCTAATAGGGCACTGCAGCATTTTGATTTCAGTTCTGAAAAGGAGCGGAGGGTGACTGTGAAAATCCAAAGAAAAGATGTGTTGGCTTTAAAGAGTTTCAGTCAGATGCTTCATGTTTGTGTGCCAAAGCACCTTTTTGGAATTCAACCTGAACACAGCTGTGTTTCTCTGTTTCTCTAAGTTTCTCTGCCCAGATACTGGCAAAATCCAAATAAGTCCAGCCAATTGTTCATTTAAAATGATAAATGAACTTATGTGAAACAACAGCCCCCACCATACAACTAATGACTTCATTGGGGTTAGAGCTTGGCAATAAATAAATATAAAGCTTACTATTAATAACTCAGTGTTAATCTACATATCACCAGGGGTTCTCAAACTTTGTAAAATCACAACTCTCCACTGCAAGCTGACACAGGCAAAGCAAGGAACAAAACTCAGAGCAAATTTTGATGGGGAACCATTGTCAAAAACTGTTCCACTTTGTCTGGGCAAGCTTGTAGCCATCATGCCCAGGTAAAGGGAGAGAAAAAAGCTCAGAACACAATTTGCGAGTGCTTCTACTTTGCTGCTCTACCCTGATATACACACACACACACACATTCCCACCTCACAAATTGCTCAGAGACTTGTCAGGAGTTCTACCACACAGTTTGAGAAAGCCTGATTTACAGTATTTGGGACAACTGACTCCTTAATGGATATGTTCCCAAATTGCACTAAGCATGGTTTGTTTATGTTTTTACTAAATAAATCCAGTTTGGCTGGGCTTGCGGAACACTCCAAGTTATAAACCAAGGTTTACAAACCGCAGAGATCTAGTTATACTGTTAGGCACTCGCCTTTGTTTATTTGTTTACCCAAGTTCCAAGAACCGAATAGAACTTGAGACGAGACTTCATTAGCTAACAGAAGTTTTATTGGCCAAGAAACATTCTGGATGGCTCATTCAACACCATGGCAGGAGTGTTGCCCAGAACCACACCTTGCAAAGCAAACATCAGAAATTTATAGGCATTTACAAATGTATCAAACTTT